ATCCTGAATCGCTGGGCTCACCTCAAAACCCTATTAAAACCCTGATCCAAGCAGATGCCAAAAGCCAGCATGCCACGCAACAAAGCTCCTAGTAGGTTTTGGGGGTTTAGGGTTTAGGGTTTAGGGTTTAGGGTTTAGGGTTTAGGGTTTAGGGTTTAGGGTTTAGGGGGCTCATGGGGCTTTGCATTTGAGGTCAAGGGGTGAGGATGCGTGTTTTTGGAATTTCAGCCTCAAGTGCTCAAGGCGCTCTGGCTCCTGACACCTTCAGCCGCGACCGTACAGGGTCTGTCTCGAATTCCGTCCACGTCGACTGTCTTGCATCCAGCCAAAAATAAGTTTGCGCAAGCCTTATCCTGAAACCCGAATCCTCAAACCCCTTGTTCCTGACATAACGTGACATAAGGCTTGAATCCTCAGCAAGCCTGCAAGCTCTTTAGGGTTTGCTTGCAAGCTCTTTTGACTGAGTAAGTCTACTTAGTATCCCCCTACAAACCCTCTAATAGTCCCCAGAACCCAACTTACTAGCCCTACTTACTAAGTCGAAAAAGCTTCCAAGTAGCCCTAAACCCTAAACCGCCCTAAACCCTAACCCCCTTATCCAAAACCCGACACCCTAAGAGGGTTTAGGCGAACCCTCGACAGACCCGAAGCCCCGAACCCAAAACCCAAAACCCAAGACCCTAAACCCTAAACCCAGAACCCTAAACCCTAAACCCTAAACCCTAAACCCTGACCATGTAACTACCCTAAGGCCAGTTGTCCTTCGCCATTCCGCTGACGGAGCCGCGGCCGCCACAGTACGCCTCGACCCCAAGCTACGTTGGGATTAGGGTTTAGGGTTTAGGGTTTGGGGTTTAGGATTTAGGGTTTAGGGTTTGGGGTTTGGGGTTTAGGTTTTGGGGTCATGGAGTTTAGGGTTTAACCTTTGGGGTTTAGGGTTTAACCTTTGGGGTTTAGAGTTTAACCTTTGGGGTTTGGGGTTTGGGGTTTAGGGTTTGGGGTTTGGGGTTTCGGGTTTCGGGTGTAGGGTTTGGGGGGCCCGGGGGGAGGAGGTTGTGATACTTCGGTTGTGCGCACAGCGGCCCTCATGCCACGGAAGGAAGGAAGGAAGGAAGGAAGGAAGGGTCTCGGAAGGTTTGATGAAGGGCTTGGGCCTTTTGGGGTTTGGGGTTTGGGGTTTAGAGCTTAGGGTTTAGGGTTTAGGGTTTAACTAGGGTTTGGGGTTTGGGGTTTAGGGTTTAGGTGTCCAGGTTTGTTGAGGGTATGTATGCTAGAGAGCCTCTCGGCCGAAAGACCCTGCAGGAAGCAAGCCGAACACGAAAAATCCTAGAGCTCTGGGAGTTTCTAGGGTTTAGGGTTTGGGGTTTAGGGTTTAGGGTTTAGGGGGGTTTTGGGTTTCGGGTCTATCCTTTCGGAATATAGTATTTTTCACAGCTCTGTCGGATGCCCAGGAATACCCTGAATCTCTTGCTTCAGGGATACGTCTGCTGAGAGGCAACCATGGTCCTTGCTGCGTTGCTGATATGAACCCCAAACCCTAAACCCCAAAAACCAGACCCGAAACCCCGAACCATAAACCCCAAACCTTAAAACCCTAAACCCCCGACCGTAAACCGCAAACCCTAAACCCTAAACCCCAATCCTTAAACCTCCTTTGTTTCCGGACAGCCCAGCTTGGGTTTCGAGGTCATCTCCGTGGTTAGCGACCGATGGGTGAACGTGAAGCTGCCGCCCCGGACTGGTAGGGTTTAGGGTTTAGGGATTAGGGTTTAGGGTTTAGGGTTTAGGGCTACGGGCCTTGGTGTGAGAGTAGGGTTCACGGTTTATAGGGATTATCATCCAATCATCACCGTTGCCTTAGGAAATCTGTGGGATGACTCGGGTCTATGTTCCCAAATAGGGAATGGCGCCTTAAAGGACTTTAGGGGCCAAGTGTATTTGAACCCTTAAAAACTGCCGCGCTTGAACCCCCCACCCCCCTTCCTTGCCCATAAAAAGATTCGGAGCTTTTGCTCAGGGACCCCGCCTAGGCAGACTCTTTAACTTCAACCCTGGACCCGAAACTCAAAACCATAAACCCTACACCTTACAGCCTAAACCCTCAACCCTAAACCCTAAACCCTAAACCCTAAACCCTAAACTCCAACCCTCACGCAGGCGAGGCTGTTGGGACTTTTGGAGTTGGTTGGAGGCCATCCTTCACTTCAGGCAGACGCGGTACGGCCTGAACCCTTAAGCAAGTCTGAAAGTCCTGCTTTTTGCATCCCCTGACTACATACTAGCCACCAGTGAAGATGTCTTCCTTTTTGGGATTCTAGGTCTTATAATATGCCCTAAACCCTGAACCTCCAAACCCCTGAACTCTTGCAGGCCTCAACCCTGAACGCTAAACCCTAATCCCTGAAAGCCCTAAACCCTGAATCCCGAAAGCCCTTAAGCCCTAAACCCTGAACTCCGAAAGCCTCTAAAGCCCCAAAGCCCCCAAACCCTAAACCCTCAACCCTAAATTATCTCACCACCGGGCATCGCAAAAATGGCGCCGCCGCGGCCAGCGCCGGCGAAGCCTTCGGCCAAAGAGCCGAGGAGGCCTCCTGGGACCTTTGGTTTAGGGTTTAGGGTTTAGGGTTTAGGGTTTAGGGTTCTAGCCGAGGGACATAAGGATTGGCTTAGAAGGCTATGGGGCTTGATATGGCTTTCGGCTTCGAAAGTTTTAGGGTTTAGGGTTTAGGGTTTAGGGTTTAGGGTTTTAGCAAGTCGGACTTCAGGGTTTCCGGGTTTTGGGGCTTCAGGGTTTCAGGGTTTCAGGGCTTTAGGGTCTCGGGTTGGGATGATCCCCCCTTATACCAACAGTCCTGAATAGGGATTATCCTACCCCCCTATGATAATCCCTAAACCCTAAACCCTAAACCCTAAACCCTAAACCCTAAACCCCAAACCCCAAACCCTATTCGACCATCCCCAGGAGGGTTTCTTACTCAGCCAGCAGGTGAACTGAAAACGTTTGGGCTTCCTTATTTAGTAGGAACGATGAGGTTTTCACCTCTTTTTCCCTAAACCCTAAACCCTAAACCCTAAACCCTAAACCCTAAACCCTAAACCCTAAACCCTAAACCCTAAACCCTAAACCCTAAACCCTAAACCGTTGGTTCTTGCAGAAGCAAGATTTGGAGAGAAGAGGATCCTAAGCCGCCAGATTTGTTTCAGAACAGGCCGCCAAGTCGGGTTTTAGGGCTTCAGATAGGGTCTTAGGGTCTTAGGGCCTGAGGGTCTTAGGGTCTTAGGGTTTTCGGGTTTTGGGGTTTTAGGGTTTAGGGTTTAGGTTTAGGGGTTTAGGGTGTAGGGTTAAGGTTTAGTCTAGGGCTTCGGATTTGGGTTGCTGCTGTAGCACATGCCCAAGTGCGCCAAGACTGTCCGAGACATCTGACCCCAAGGAAGGAGACCGCAGACTCTCACCCCATGCCCTAAATTCTATAATCCCTAAACCCGATAACCCCAAGCTCTGGGCCCTACACCCCGTTCAGGATTCAGTGATTTAGGGTTCAGGGTTTTGGGGCTTCATAGTACTCAGTGTGTCCAGGGTTTAGGCCTTAAACCCCAAACCCTAATGCCTAAACCCTGAAGCCTGACGACCCTGGGCAGAGTTCCCTGTGTCATAGTTGGCTGCCATTTTACCTTTTTAATGGTACTTAAACCCAGTAAGGAATATAAATTGAAATTTTTAATATTATCCCAACCATGAACTAGTTCCAGGCCTGCGGAGAAGCCTCGTGCCCGCAAGAACAACCTGGCAAGCTGCCGGGCAGAAACTGGAATAAGGATTGCTTCCAACCCTTGAGATAAACGAAGGTGTGTAACCTCTCAATATAGACTTATATATATATATATATGTATACAAGCCATATTTGCAGTATAATCTGAGTTAATCTGAGTTTGCAACGTTGTAAACCCTCGAGACCCTCAGCCCCTGAACACCCGAAATCCAAGAGACCCCAAAGCCTAACACTAGAGACCCTAACCCAAAAAGCCTGAAGACCATCAATCCCGGTGGCCCCCTACTGGGCTTCCGCTGAAAAGAGTTTAGACGGGGCGGGGGGGGAGCGGGGGGGAACTATTAGCATGGTTGTAGGGCTTTAGCGTTAGGATGCGACCGGGTTTAAAGTCTAAGCGTACTTTACTAAACTGTAGGTAAAAAAACGTCCCAGCTATAGCTAGCTTTAGGGCTTCGGTTCAGGGGGTTTCGTAGGGTTGAATGTTTTAACTCGGTTTGTCCAACGCACCCTTCACATACATGCTGACCGAGGCAGGACAAACAGTGCGAAACTCTTCTGATGGGTAAGGCTCCATCTCGATCGAAATATGAGGGATATGCCCCCGAGGCAGCTTCACACAGGGTGGGATCCGAGCGCGCGTGGCCAACGTGCTGCCAAAGAAGTCGCGCTCGAGACTTGAATTATTTGGTCGGTTGTCAGGGTTTCGAACCCGAAACCCTAAACCCTTGGGCTTAGGGTTCAGGGTTTAAGTTTTGGGGTTCATGGGGTTTACGGTTTGGGGTTTAAGATGTAGGGTTTCGGGTTCAGGGTTTGGGGCTTACGGTTCAGGATTGGAAGCTTATGCCCAGGAAAGACGCCCGGAGCATCGACCATGCGGAAGAGGCCTCGCACTTTCACCACCCTGGGTTTAGGGTTCAGGGTTTCGGGTTTAGGGTTTTGGGTTCAGGGTTTAGGGTTTAGGGCGTAGGGTTTAGGGTTTAGGCTTTAGGGCTTCCATGCTCTGGTAGGTGCCTCACTATGAACTTAGTACCTGAATCAGTGTTTAGGGTTTAGGGTTTAGGGTTTGTGCTTGAGTGTTTAAGGATATTCTTAGCTTAGCCGCTGGAACCCCTAAGCACCCTGAAACCCCGCAATCCCTAAACCCTAAACTCCCAAAACCCTTACCTAGGAACTTTAGGGTTTAGAGTTTACGGATTGAGAGTCTAGGGCTCGCTTGTACACCTGTTTGTTTAAAACAGGGTTGCCTTTTTGCCGTTGGCCAAACGTGGTATCGTTTAGGGTTTAGGGTTTAGGGTTTAGGGTCTTAGGGTCTTAGGGTCTTGGGGTCTTAGGGTCTTAGGGTCTTAGGGTCTTAGGGTCTTAGGGTCTTAGGGTTTAGGGTTTAGGGTTTAGGGTGAGGACCCATACCTGAACTACTTTTTCAGGTATAGGACTAGGAGCCCTCAGCCCTGAAGCCCTGAAGCCCTAAAGCCCTAAAGCCCTAAAGCCCTAAACCCTCAACCCTAAACCCTAAAGCCTAAAGCCTAAACCCCTAAACCCTAAACCCTCAACCCTAAACCCTAAACCCTAATCCCTAAACCCCCTGACTAAAGCCTGCAAACCCCCAATCCTGGTGCCAGGCACATCAGGCCAAGCTGCGGGCGACGCAGGCTCTTTTGGGGTTTAGGGCTTAGGGTTTTAGAATTCGGGTTTAGGGTTTAGGGTTTAGGGTTTAGGGTTTAGGGTTTAGGGTTTAGGGTTTAGGGTTAGGGTTTAGGGTTTAGGGTTTACGGTTTAGGGTTTAGGGTTTAGGGTTTAGGGTTAGGGTTTAGGGTTTAGGGTTTAGGGTTTAGGGTTTAGGGTTTAGGGTTTAGGGTTTAGGGTTTAGGGTTTAGGGTTTAGGGTTTAGGGTTTAGGGTTTTGTGGCGGGCGTAGGGCCATTGAAAAGGAACTTTGAAGTGGGGTTTGTGGCCCAGACCCTTCATGGGTTTATGGCTTAGGGTTTAGGGTTTGGTTCTTCATCAAACAAAGTGGGTGTGCCCCTTTTTGTTTGGGGTTCCAGTAGAACTTTTTTGTGGCCTTAGTTACTTAGGGCTTTGTCGCTACACAAAGATGCTGGTTGGCCAAATGAAGTATCCAGGGAGTTTCAATACCACGTAGTTCAGGGAATTCATAGCTTAAGTTAAAATAGGAACCCAAATGTATGCATGAACGTGTTCTCAGTATTCTCCTTAATTCTTGGGGCACACCTTAAGCTAGATAGGGAGTTTCCTTTCGGCTCAAAATAGCCTCATGAAATTAAGGCCTTCTGGGCCCCCCCAAAACCCCTTTTCATCATACGAGTTCTTGCAGCCTCAGTCTTCCTGTATTTGGAGTCTGGGGCTGTTAGGGGTTTAGGATTTGGGTTTAGGCTCCAATGTAAATGCTTTTTGGGTTAGTTATAGGGGATTCTAATATACTACCCCAAAAAGGTGCTACATCGGAGCCTTTGGGTAGGGCACTCGAGATATCGTGGGCCTGGAGAGGCTGCGGCCCAGAATTCCACGCTCCGCTTGGTGAAGAGCCGACGGCCGTGGTGCAGGAGTCGCAGAAGGTGAGACAAATCTCCGATGTTTGGTTTAGGGTTTAGGGTTTGGGGTTTAGGGTGTAGGGTTTAGGGTTTAGGGTTTAGGGTTTAGGGTTTAGGGTTTAGGTTCGGAGGTTTCTGGGGCTCAAAGATTTAGGGTTTGGGGTTTACGGTGCAGAGGTATTGGGGATTCAGAGGTTCAGATTTTAGGGGGTTAGGGCTGAAGGTTTGGGGTCTACCTGGTCTACCTAGGGTTTCGGGTCCAGGAAAATGAGAGGAAGCGCCCCTTTACTATACTGACAAGGGTTGAAGGACGTATAACTATATATACTTATATATATATATATTCTTGAAATATCCTAAACCCTAAACCCCAACCCCCTGTACCCTAAGCATGCAAGACCAGCCC